TTTCTAGTTGTGTAGTTTGGAGGCTTGGGGTCTTTTGCCTGGACACTGTACTGTTAAAGACCATAAAAATTTATCTTTGATTTAATCTTTATGGAATTTGGAATTGGATTTATTTAGCTTATCACAAATGTCTGTGCACTGTTCTCCAGATATAGAATAGGAGATATAATAGGACTTATCCACAAAATTTGGCAGAACCCCACCTAGCCAAAAGAGCCTATCCATGTACTTGTCCACTGTCCGTGAAACTGGCTTCATGCAGGGTTAAGAGGGTCACTCGGGCCTTAACCCCGGATGATGGCTTATGTGGAAAAGATATGGAGAGTCAGACTGTCTGGATCTTTTGGTTACATTTGACTTGTACTTGTAGCATGAGTTTTGAAAATAAGTCAACTAGTGCAAGTAATAATTTATTAGGGTTGAAAGAATTTAACATTTAGCACTTGTAGGCACTTCCAGTTTTCTCATTAGAGAGAGAAACACAGTGTTTCTCATTTTGAAAAACTTTTCTTAATGTTTTTTGTATTTTGGGCATGCTTTTTTAAAAAATAAGAACTATTTTGACATAATCTTAGATTTACAGGGGTGTTGGAATAGTGATAGTACAGAGAGTTTTTTTTTTTTTTTTTCTCCCAGCCTCCCCTCATGTTAACATCTTACATAACTGTGGCACGTTTATCAAAACTAAGAAGCTAGCATTGGTATGGACTCAACTCAACTACAGACTTCACCAGTTTTTTTCAGTAATGTCCATCCCTTTTCTGTCCCAGGATGCAACCCAGCATACCATCTTGTATTTAGTTGCCATTGCTTTTTAAATTTTATTTTTAAAAGTAATGAAAGATATGTTGGGCTAATTTATTGTGTTTATTCACAAGGCTAATTTATAAGAATTGCAAGGTGACTGTTCTGCACTTTAAACACAGGCTAACAAGTCTCAGACTTTTCTGTTATTTCTGCTGCTTAGCACCTCCGCCAGGTTGGGGTAGTGGGCAAATTTGTGGAGTTCTTTGGGCCAGGAGTAGCCCAGTTGTCCATTGCCGACCGAGCCACGATTGCTAACATGTGTCCCGAGTATGGAGCAACTGCTGCCTTTTTCCCGGTTGATGAAGTTAGTATCCAGTACCTGGTGCAGACAGGTAAGTGAAGGACTGTGAAAGCAGAGGGGTCTTGGTAAAAGTTTCATAGAACACTAAGAATCAGAGCACTGCCTTCTGCCTCCACCCACAGAGTACACTGGGTTAGAGTTATACAGGTTTTTTTACTTGTCTGTGGAGTTAAACAGGTTGTTGCAATTTAAGGAGGTGTGAGATAGCAATGGTATGGCCAATAGAAAGAGCTCAGGTACTTCAGAAGCCTGGATATTTACACCAGTCTTCCACGTCTAGTTTTTTAACAGTAAGCAAGTGATCTTAGTAGTGGTGCGGGATGTCTGTGCAACACCTGCTGTGTACTGGGCAATTGGTGTGTGTTTGCTGTCAACTTCTTTACACATCTATTGGGTGGATTGATGAGTTAATAAACTAAGAGGAGAGAAAACAGAGGATCAAAGAGGTGTTATTACCCAAAGCTAATAAATAGCAGAGCCAGAATCCAAGCCTGCAGCTGCCCAGCTCCAAACAGGAGGGCCTGTGTAACGCCCCTCAGGGGTGTCCAAAAGGTGAAATGAGAGACCTCTGTGAAGGCATTTTGAAACTTCCACAGATTTTTAACCCTGTATCTATTGGTTTAGAAATTGACTTTT